CAATGACAGTCACAGAAGCATTTTATAAAATTCTGCTTAAGATGCAGGATTGCGCAAAATCCATTACATGAATCGGGACCAAATTTTTTTTCTACAATTTTTAAACGTAATTGGTGGTACTGGCGGCGAGATTCATGCTAACAAAATTTTTTTCCAACGTCTATTAGCCATTAGATAGGGGAAAAGATACCTTAAAATATCATTTTTTAGTTTATACGCCACTCTATTAACAATTTTCAAAACTTTGTGAATATCTTATCGCCAGTACCTTCAAAATGTAATTATAAAAAAGGTTTCTTTTACTATTTTGTTTCAAATGATCAAGTACGATCAAATCCTGCTCGCCGAATGACTCTTTTACTTTTAAGTGGTCTCGTTCAAACGCCGCACAGTGGGCGAAATCGACCAAATCTGTGTAAAAATCGTAGAACTCTTGACAGAAATGAGATAGACCAATGATCCTTGGATGAAATTAAAGCTGAAACTTCACAGATTAAGGGAGAAATATAGAGAAAATGATGCGGGCAATGTTTGACCTTCAAAATTTAGGTTAAACTTCCACTTTTTCACCAAAATCTAGTTCAGCTCCTAGATCCAAATTTTTTTATAACTTGCCACACATGACTTCTTATAGATCTTGACATGCCGAATTCAAATCTGGCCGCGAAATTTGTCTAGCATTTCAGGAAGTTGAGAAAAAAGCGACTTAAATGAAAAAATCGATTTAAATTGTGTTTTTTTTCGTTCAAATATTTTAATAATACTACTATAAATATTTATTTATATAGAATATCAAATAATAAATATAAATAAAATAATATGTTAATCCTAAATAATGCTGTACAATAGTAATAGTGTCCTAGGTTTAAATCTCGTCATCGCTCGACGCACAATCTTTCTAAATATACATTTTTCCATATTTATGGTCAACTTATTTATGCTTACTTGATTATCATATATATTTATACAGATATCAATATTGTCATGGCATGTCAAAATCTATAAGAAATCATGTGTGGCAAGTTATAAAAAAATTTGGATCTAGGAGCTGAACTAGATTTTGGTGAAAAAATGGAAGTTTAACCTAAATTTTGAAGGTCAAACATTGCCCGTATCACTTTCTCTATATTTCTCCCTTAATCTGTGAAATTTCAGCTTTAATTTCATCCAAGGATCATTGGTCTATCTCATTTCTGTCAAGAGTTCTACGATTTTTACACAGATTTGGTCGATTTTGCCCACTGTGCGCCGCACAGTTGGACAAAACGACTCTCGCTGATCAAAAATCCGTAACTTTGGTTCTCTTGAAAATATTTTAATAAAATTTTAGGAACTTATTCCCTATACTATGATACTTAAATTGTATTAGTATAAATCAATTTGAGCTACAGGTTGTCCAAATATTCACGTATAAAGTGTAACGCGTTCAATATCTTTCACTTGTTTGACATATTTATTGTTATTTAACCAAAATTCGACTCAAACCTGTTATTAACTATGAGAGAAACGTATTTAGGGGCACAAAGGGGCACCCAATCATTAGAGAATCTGATAGAGGATAGTTCACCCTTTCCAGTGATAGCAATGAAACCTTGGACAAGTGCGGTCAATTTTTTATAATCATGAGTAGAGTTAAGAGTTTCGTCAAACGTATATTAGTATTATTTTAGACTCGAGCCCCATTATTTAAAAATTTTCTACATTCCAACTTAGTTTGTCATCATGAGTAGTTCGTATATATATTTATCTTCTCGCGAAATCCATTAAAAAGTCTGTATGACAGACAAACCATCGCATCTAGTACCGCTTTTCGATTATCAAGCACTGCGGCCAACACGTGTTTAGTCTAATTTAATTGCCATTTTCACGAAATGGGGCACCTAGGGGCACCTGATCTTTGCAGAATCTGATGGAGGATGGTTCACCCTTTTCTGTGATAGCAATTAAACCTCGGACAAGTGCGGTCAATTTTTTATAACCATGCGTAAAGTTACAATTTTACTTAAATGTACTTCTCTCCAAGCAGACCCAATTATTTAAAAAGTTGTTAACATTTTGACTTACTTTATGCATTAAATACTATCTATACAACTCTAGCAAACATTATAATTCATTTGAATATCGTCTTTCTGAGCAAAGTTTTATAGAATCGTATATTGAAGTTAGGAGTAATATCGTAAGCGTTTTGCATGCTTGAATTTCAACTGTCTTTGAATGCGCACCACAGCAAAACGGAAGCAAATATCAAAAAACAGATTGCACTACATTAAACAGCAATTTATCCTCTATCGATGTACATAAACAGTTTTTCCATTTTTCGAATTCGCGAAAATCGATTTTTGATCGCCGAAAGCCGTTTCGTCCGTCCTACCGTGCGCCGTCTGGGAACATCCACATATCGAAATATTTTGATAAAAAATCAAAAATTAATATTAAAGCGTCGATCTGCCAAATAAAAAAGAAAATTATCATAATTACACTAGTACTTTTCCTACAAAAAATTCTTGAAAATTGCCTTGAAAATTAAACGTTACACAGGTGGACCCCCTTAATTTGAGTTAGAAGGGGGGCGCTCTAATGAGAAGTTGCATTGTAGCGATTAGTAACTCTAGCGTCGGCCCTGCCCCTCCTCCCCCACCCTCATCCCTTTCGATCGACTGCGCCACGAACGGGCCCCGTTTTTGCCATGACCGTTTTCTCCATGAAGGTGCATACGTTTCACTGGCCGAGGTACATGCCATGTCCAGTGAAACTGCATCTGTGCGTGCACCGGCTAAAGAAATTGTTGAGGAGATACCAGAGACTCGGTCATGGCGTAAATGGGTCACTCGCGACTTTAATCTCGACGATGTACAGCGTGCGTTGCGTTGCACCTTACGAGACCCACTTCAATTGTGGATTGGGGACACAAAAACAGTTCGAGAATAATAATACTCAGCCGTTGCTTTCCGTGCTCTCATAAAACGTACAAGCTAATTAATCTGTGAAAATCTTCGCTAGAAACGTTAAATTAAAAATCCATTTGTTTGTGATTTCTCTAAAACTTTTACGATTCTTTATAGCCTTACATAGAGTATAGCCTTACTTTTTAATTTGCGAAAACACCGTTGAAAACGTCGATCGCCACTCTTGCACCACGTGTCCGTTTGTTACAAACCATAACTCAATAGCAACAACAACAACAACGGTAGAGTAATACAATCAGTGACGTAGCGAGGAAATTTGCGCTCGAGGGCATTTCAATGAATTTGCGACGTTTTCGTATAGTGGGACTCCACCATATAATACAGATAATTTCAGATCACTAATTTGACTGTGTTCAAAACTACCCTTCTGGAATCTGACGTCAAAGAACAATACAGGACGAAAGAAATATAAAAATAGTTACCTCAGGACTTTTATTGATTCATTAATTTGAATAATTTTATAGAGAAATCCAGAAGAATTTTCAAAAAATTTTATGAATATAGTATATTGTACATACATATATACCAGGTGATTCGCGAGATACAAAACACCTAATTATCTCAGTTCGACTTAAAGATAGAAGAAAATGTTAGAGAAAAAAGTTGTACTCTTAAGGGGGGCAAATATGAGGATATAAAAAAAATTTCCGAATTATGTAATTTTTAAGGTTTTTTGAAGGTTATCGGTAATTTTTGGATTACATCCTATATTTTCAACATCATAAGATTGTAGCTGACGTCAAGACGAGTACAACGATGTGTTACACTATGACCTTCAAATGACCTTGACTTGAACCTTGAATTCTCTTCCTTTGAATAACGCATCGTTAAACTGATATCGATGAACTGATACATTCGGAATTCTTCAATGACAATAACTGACTCGGTAGTAAATACCTGTAGCTTATTGATAAACATGTTTCTGTATACTTAGAAATTACCTTCCATTAACAGTATACACGTGCTGAAATGGTTTAAGAAATTACATTTTCGTTGATCAGACGGAAATTTCTCAGTTTAAGGTCATTTGAAGATCATAGTGTAACACATCGTTGTACTCATCCTGACGTCAGCTACAATCTTATGATGTTGAAAATATAGAATGTAATCCAAAAATTACCGATAACCTTCAAGAAACCTTGAAAAATTACAAACTTCTGAAATTTTTTTGTATCCTCATATTTGCCCCTTTAAACAATACCACTTTTTCCTCTGATATTTTCTTCTATTTTTAGGTCGAACTGAGATAATTAGGTGTTCTGTTTCTCGTGAATCACCCGGTATAAATTGATGTAAAAGTAATTAAGTATTTTCTTATCATGGATGCAGAAAGTATCTGTTCCTACACAAGAACTTCTTATCAATATTATTGAAAATGAAACTATTATCTACATTTTCTCTAATCTAAGAATTCTCATCGTAAGAATTCCTTTTCAAATGTCTAGAATTTACTGAAGATGTTCCACAACCACTCCAACTCCAAAATCAACGAAGGTGCAGGATTCCCAGCATAAACGCCCCTATAGCCATTAATTTCCTACTTCTTTATTCGCGTAATTAACGGTTACAGATAACGCGATATTTTTACGTCAAAGAACAATACAGGAAATAATGTCGAATTTACTACGAAAAGATCTATCAATATCAATTGTTTATTACTACTCGTTTGTTCTATCTCTTATATACAGCATTAAGCTTATTAAAAAGTGAAAGTGTAATCAGAGCAATCAATAATAAATATTAATTCGTATTACCAATCCATCGTTTCCTTCCAAACGATTCTCCCATTAATTTTGCAAAGAATTGTTTCTTTGAGGTAATTCGATAATTTTGCGATAGAGTAATCGTTTCGTGATCCACGAGGAATTAATCCGAACTATTACTAATCATAACTGCGGGGAACTGTATATCGTAATCAAAGACGTAATTGGCCACCAATGATGCCATGAGTCACTCAGCCAGTTTCAAGTTTCTAATACCGATTCGAAACGTCGAAATTTCACTCCATCTAGACACTGTTGACGAAACACTCACCGTGTTGGATCGTCGTGAGCAGAATGGCCAGGCAGAGGAACAGCGACACTGTTTGCGCCCCCTGAAACGGAAAAGCGATGCTATGAGACGAGTGTGTTTAACCTCTTCAAGGATATCGACGCATATGTGCGCCGTTTGCCTTCTTCTTATATCCGAGTGCTGTTGACAAAGATATAAGGAACTTTATGGTGAACGGATGTTCATCACAAAATTTCTCATTCAGAGAAAGTGATAGCACGCCGAAAGGTCACATTTATGTCGTTTTGAATAGCGAGGTTTCGAATCGAACGTGAATTATGCGACTTACAGTGAAACAAAGCGAGTCGAGTAAACAGTACATGCGAGGGATTCTTTGGGTTTGTTTATACACGAAAACGAACGACACATTATAAATTGTTTACCCAGGTTTTCACGGTTTTAACTCGGACTGCGTGAAATTATACAACTAGTGCAAGCTACTACACAAACGCAAATTATCTAAAATTGTTAAAAATCATTTCACTTTTTTCACTATTATTGATGTTATAATACCATTGAAAGCATAAAATACATACGTAGAGCAGACCGAGGCTAAAGATTTCGATTTAAAGAAAACGTCAAAATTGATTGGGAAATAATTCCCTAGTAGCATTTGTGGTTGGTCAACGGTTTCCAATAGTTGGGAATCAGTTGGGATATAGTAAGTGCTTTTGCCTACAAATGCCCAAATAAGGGCCTACGTTAAAAGGATTATGACAATTTTCCTACAAATACCCAATATTGGGCTAACAATGACTATAGTTGGTTAATTAACAAGAAACTTGCAACAATAATACTACGTCGAACCAACCAAAGCACGCCAACGCTTAAACGTTGCCCTTAGACGTTGTGGAAATCTTGTTACAAATAACAACCTGTTGTTATATTCTAAAATGAGTTCTTTCTATTTTTATTTATAAATAATAGTCGCGGTTTTCTATTGTTGGGCCATAGTTGGCCCACTGAAGTTTTGTTATGTACAGTATATCCCCATAAAAAACTTCAAAACAGTAAAAAAATTACGCCAAGTACGTGAAAAAGTGGAGGACTCAAGGAGTTATCATAGAAAAATAAAAGATCCCCATCAAAATGTACAAGAAAGTAGAAAAAGATGTGAAATCAAAATGAGCTGCCAGTACATGTAAGTCCTTTCTAATAAAGTGCAAAGGCGACACTGTGTAACACAATGTAAAATTCGGTGGTTTCCAACTATGCGCAGCTAAAATGCTGTGTTCAACAGTGCGGACGTTCAGATCCTAATGACAATTCATGTAAAGTGACTGCTCCACACTTTAGCGGTGACACGAAGAAGCTGAATAGCGTATCATCCACAAACTGAGGCTGTTTAAAAATTTGCCTTGATGTCCGCGGCCTGGAAGTCAAATGCTTGGCGTGGCCAGGCAAGGTCCTGTCGATTAATAAGAATTATTTTAAAACGCAAAATAATGAAAATGTACTCATATTGTAAGAGCTTTAAATTGATATATTATGTAAAAGACTGCGAGAGAGAAAGTATGGGTCTTGATGATCTGAGAATGCCTTAGCTGTTGAGAATGCTTATCTCTAACATTTTTGGGACACCCTGTATATCTTTTCACAACGACAAGGTAGATATATTATCACTTATAACCATATACTTCCCAATACAATATCACTACACGTAGCCTTTAAAATAATTATTCAATTTGCGGCGTCCAAATGTCACCAATACAAACTGACAGGTTATACAGGTTAGAAATGACAACTGTCACAAATACAAACTGACAGGTTATACAGATTAGAAATGAACGAGCGGCGTGAGCGGCAGCCATATTCCGGCCGACGAGCCCTGCCGACTGATTCCGAGAGTCGACGAATCGACGAACAGCCTTAGCTCCTATTGGCTAAGTGTTGACGAAAAATCGACTGGAAAAGTATAAGACGGTAATATTTTTGCATGTATCGTGACATGGTATTACGATATCTCAGTTGTACGTGGACCGATTTTATTGATTTTATACTTAAATGCGATTTACATCAGAAAAATGAGTTTAAATTTAGAAAATATTGCAGGCGTGATGAGACATTAATGAAAGAAGTTTCAATTTAGGTTAGAATGGACCATCTCTCCTGTAAAAGATATATAAGCGGTATCGCCACGTTATACAGGGTGGCTGTATAATTTGTCATGAACTTGGCGTCGAGACGTTACCGCGTCTCTAGATTTCAGAAAGCAAAAATGAAAACAAATGAAAAGCTTTGTTGCCGGCACAACGACAGGGCGAGTCTTTCGACTCTTGTTTCTTTTAATTTTTAATCGATGTGATGTTGGGTGGGCACCGTTGTCACCAGACAGTTCATTTTTGTTATCCATTACTTTCCCAGATAGCACGGGGACGTCTTATGTACGTCCATAAGACGTCCGGTACTGGACGTTTGGGACGTCCTATGGACGTCCAGATAACGTCCAAACGTCCCCTGAACATCCTGTGAACGTCCATTTCCAGAACGTTTCTGTACATTCTTTGTACGTCCATGGGACGTCCGGTGCTATCTGGGATAATAATATTAATTAATTAATTACTTAATTAATTAATATTAATTTACAATTGTAAATAGTGTATTTTATATTCGGAAAAAAATATTCTGTTCTACATATTAAATAAATATTATATTATAAATAATATTAATAAATAATATTTATTTGTTTAAAAAAAAGTATTTTTCCCTAAATCTAGAAAGTTCAGAGCGGACATCCCTGGGACGTACAAAATTTACGTCCCATGGACGTTTTAAGGATGTCCGACAACGGACGTCGGACGTTTGGACGTAAATTGGACATAAAATGGACGTCCATGGGACGTCCGGTGCTATCTGGGTATGTACTCTCTTGGAATATGGGGCTGAGAGAAAATTGAAAATTGTATACTTTTTCTGTATAATTAAATGGTAAGTTTACTTTAGAAGGCACAGTATTAATGTCTACACCTAATAAGTAGTAATATATCTCCTTTAAATAAAAAAAGTAAACCAGCAACTGGTACACGATTCATCGGATTGAGCCCCATTTTGCAAATAAACACATAATCCATTCTTTTTTGGGCTATACGTTGCAATATACATTACAACAAACAATGTAGCAATTTTATTGTAGTAATTTTGTTGCTTATCTTGAGTCTCTTATTTTTCCTCTCCTTTCTTCTCACACTTTCTTTTTGTTGGGATAATTTGTTTTTTACTGTAATAGATTGGTATTCCTGACCTGCACTGCCACGCCACCTCGGCGATTTTTGTTTAAACTTACCTTCGTTCTTTTGTTATCACCATGTAAAGCACGTTTAATCGACATAATATGTATATATTCTTTATTTTCACGTACAATTCTTAAAGTAATTTGCGCACCTCAAACCTTAACACTTTTCTTTTTCGTGCTCCCATTCTTCTAGTACATTTTTGCCCTCGTCATCTCTTGCTTCTATTTCCCATTTGTTACATTCCTTCCCACTAATGATACACCCATGAAGACTGTATAAGGAGTGCCAACTGTGTAGTGTAGAAGTGTCATCAAAATCCCGAGCTTTAAGTTATGAGTATTTCTACCACTCGCGGCGCAAGTGAGCACAGACTACGATATGTATATGTCATACGTGTATTTATTATCATATATATCATATCATATGTATTTTTTCATATATCATAGTCTGTGCGCACTAGCGCTGTGAGTGTTAGAAATATTCATAACTTCAAGCTCGGGTTTCTGATAACAGTTTTCTAGTAACTTTCGTATGGAGTTAGATCTCCTTATACAGTCTTCATGAATATGCATTATTAGCACTTTATAATCAAAGTATATGCGTGTGAAATTGCGTGTTCTTTCAACGTGTCATTCGATTTAACGATCCAGATAACACAAAAATAACCCGAGCCACATATCGAACTCAGGCTCGCCACCAATTTCCCGTGACTAGATCTAGGGAATTTCTGTGAGACACCGCACCATTTATTCCCTAATATTGCATGAACACTTACTTCCGGAACACTTAGTCTCGATCTCCCCTAATTCTTTCATCTGATTATATTTTCATCACCTACTCTATAAAATAAATTTATGCATGGATTGCATCCGTGAGTCTCGAGCAATGCGAAACACTGACCACCAAGGTCTTCAGGCCTTGATTTCATTTCACGTCGATCTTTACACGAGAATCTTGATACCACTTTCTACGCCTTGTTCGCGATGGTTAGTCGACTAATTGGTCTCCCAAGACTTCTACTTTCGACGAGTTTGTTGTTCAACGCATAAAATGGGCTTCAAATGGGATCTGAATGGGCGTTCAAAGAATATGATTACCGCGTCGTGGTCGTGAATGTGTTACACGTGTCGTGAGTTCATCTTTAAGAATTCTAGTCACTCGAAGATTGCTGTGAACAGATTTATCGACTACCGTTTCGAACTCCGTTATGCAGTGACGCATTACGCTGTATATGAGCGGCCGACAACCTTATTCGGCCCTGAGTGAAATTAAACGAATGATTTTATTCTTGCGAAGTTCTTGCAAAGTTCGTGCGTCAGTAGTATTTTGTAACACGCTAGTAAAGGAAGTTATTTATTAAAATGGGAATAGTAAAGTAGAAATTACTTGAAAAATAATGCAACTATCAGAAGCCTTGAGGAGAATTGAGGGAGAACGAGTGAAGAGGTTGGAAGAATGTTTGGTTGGAGGACGAAGAAAGACACTGGATTAAGACTAGAAGAGAGGATTAACAACATTTATGAGCAAAACTATAGGTTTCGAATAAATCTGAAGTGTGCCGATATATTTGTCTCCTTTCCTCTTTTGAACATTTTCCAAAGAAGGAAGCGAGACAAATATATCGGCACACTTCAGATTTATTCGAAGCCTAGGGTTTTGCCCATCTCTGATTACCAAGTGTCTGAAGGGGAAGCCGGTAGTAGAATTGTGCACATACATAGCCGACTTTGAAAAAATAGTAAGGAAGAAGAAAGAGAAAGGCAATGAGATTGAGGCAGATGGAAGAGTAGAGGTCGAAGAGATAGACTAACCGTAACCGTAACCTATGATAACCAAAGATTCTAGATTATAAGATTACTAAATAAGGAAAAGGGGATATAATGTAAGGGAAGGGGACAAATATAAAAACCCATAAAGGTATACATGGCAATAAAATGAACTATATACTATACAGAGTGTCCCAAAACTGTTGTAACACCTTGAAAGAGGTGGTCTCATTCGCTACTGCGGCCGCTCCATCGGCATACTCGCGCTCTGATTGGTCAGTATTTTCCGTTAATATCTCCTCAACGAAGCCTCAGATAACATTTTCGCTAAGGAAAAAGTTGTTTCAAATCACCTCCCGAACCACCCCTTTCAAGGTGTTACAACAGTTTTGGGACACCCTGTATAACTATATAATGCAACTATCATTGCATTTGTATTGCGATTGCACATGTACCATTGCATTTAAAGAAAGACATGATCCTAGAAATATAGTATCTAGAGACACCATAACATCTTGACGCCAAGTACGTGAAAAATTATGTCACCGCGTATCTTTTACAGGAGAGACGGTCCAGCCTAACCTGAAACTTCTTTCATTAATATCTCAACACGCCTGCAATATTTTCTAAATTTAAAAACATTTTTCTAATGTAAACCGCATATAAGCGAAAACCAAAATCAATAAAATTGATCCACGTACAACTGAGATATCGTAATATCATGTCATGAATCTGTCAAAAACGGTATTTTTCGTATGATTTTCCCGTCGTCAATCCTTAGCCAATGGAAGCTAAGCAAACCTCGAGTGTCGTTCGTCGACTCTCGGAATCATTCGGTTCGACATGGCTCGTCGCGCATCGAGCGTCGAGAGTCGAAACAGATGTCATCATTCATAACCTGCCAAGTGTCAAAAGTTTTTACACTATTGCATTATTAATTATATTTATATCAGCAAAATGTTTTCAATTTAGACTTTTTATGTAGGGTTTAATAACAAATTGTAACCAGTGTTGTAAAGTATTGATCGATCTTGATTACAAGGTAAGTTGTCAAAATCTGAAGTGCCAGATACCTTTATTCATACATAAAATTGTTTTTAATATAGATCCATACCACCAAAGTGTTTTTAATTTAAGCTTTTTATGTAGAGCTTGTGGAAACGAAGGGAATCCACAGGATTGGAGGTTAACAAATTGCTGCCAGTATTGTAAAATATAGATCAATCTTGATTACAAGGTAAGTTGTAAAAGTCTGAATTGCCAGATACCTTTATTCATACAGAAAATTGTTATTAATATTGTTGCGAGCACCCTTTGGATGGATTCAAGGCCTGGATCCAAAGCTACGTTTAATTACATTTCTATTGTACACATTTCTATTGTAAAGTTAATTGTTATTTATTAAAGTTCTTGTTATCTCGTTATGCCAAAACTCAACAATATAGATCCATACCACCAAAGTGTTCTGAATTTAGACTTTTTAGGTAGAGCTTATACAAACAAAGGGGATACAACATCCACAGGCTTGGAGGTTGTCTGGAGAAAGTTGTAGATGATGAAGCATATCCTTTCGCATTTCAATTTAGTGCTTAACTAATAATGGATCTCTTCGTTCATTTTCTCACTTCATGTTTAACATTAAAATTTTTTGCAACGAGAAAACAGATTTGCTTATATTTATGTTAATTCATAAATTGAACGAATAAATGTTTATTATTAATAAATGATATCATATGAAATATACATATATATTCGCTTTTGTTACCCTGTTTCTTTTTCTTTTTTTCTATTCAATTAAAAAAATAATAATTTTGACTATTTATGTAGAGCTTATAGAAATTGTGTGGTACATCTTGTACTGCCTAAGATGTTGAAGACATTTGTGATGTTTTGGCATTTTCCTCAAAATGTTTTAATAACAAAGCTATAGCTTGTTACACCTACTTAATTCATCGCATAGTCTCTTTATAAACATTTTTCCAATGTACTTGTCTGAAAAGTGGTTTTAGAGTGGGCGGTACCCTTAAGAAAATAAAAACGTTGATATTAATTATGATTATATGATTGGATGGTTACATAATTACATGATCACATGATTACATTATATGATTATGTGATTATGTTTATGATTATCACGTTCATATTTTTTTCTTTTAGGATACATGGTCGAAATTATTATTATTTCGAATATATTGAAATTTAGTTTAAAACCACCAATATGCCAGATTTAAGGTCCAAATTCGTATCTAGACCCAATACCAGAAATATTAATTCGAGAATTAAAAAAAGCGTCCTAAACATGAATACAGAATAAAACCTATAGGTCTCCATTTGAAAAAATTGACTTGTGCCTTATGACCTTTTTTTATTTTGTATTTGGCACATACTTATATTATTTGAAACAGCATTTTTTTTTATTATAATTTGTTTTGTTGTCTGGATAAAACGAGGTTATATTTACTCTTAAAATAGAGTCACAGAATTTTTATTCATTTTGGGCTTCGTGTAGGTAACATAATGTCTTCATGTTGATTCTTCGATAAAAAGAAAGCGAAGTTATAAGTATACTTCAGTTGTCTTTCTTCCGATACAACCCAAAATTTGTCATGTACTTCATCGAGACATAATGCGCCATTGTAGTTATGGTCGGCCTCGTTCAACTTTCATCTCTGTTATCGAGGCCAATGAATTAAATTAGTTCTAATAATAGGTGAATAATATTCTAAGCTGACAGCAAATTATCGAGTTGCGCCATTCCGATATAAGACTCAGCGACGGAAATACAATCGCCATTTGCCTGTTAACCCTTTCACGAATAAAAACTTCGTCGTAAATAGGTCAAATGTACCAACATTTCACACGTGGAAGGAAATGTAGATTACCACCTTGTTTAGGTGGTATTTTTGAATTCCGAGAAAATCGTTTAGCATGAGAATCTAAAATTCTTTTGAACTTATACTTGAATGATAAAATAATATAAATCATATTAATTAGTATCGAATGCATTAGTTACATTTTTTCTGAAGTAAAAAGTTGGAGAACATGATTGATTCAGTGATGCATTATAGTCGGCACATATAATGATTAAAATTTTTAAATTTTTGTTACATAAGCCTGTAGATTTCGGCGAATGGAATCCAAAAATGCTAGTTTTCAGGCGAGGAATCCACTAATTCGGAAGTTATGAGCAGTTAAAGGTGAACCTTTTTACCGTATTTGTCAGGCAATTCAAAAATTGAATTCGTACTCTAGGGCGGGGGAGGGGCTTCCCCCGTCCCCCTGTACCGCCTCCCCGAAAAATAGGCCCAAACCAACTCTGTTAATTCGAAATATGGCAGTTTTCAAAAATAGACATAATGATATAAAAGTAGTACATAATGTAGTCCGCTATA